AATATATAAACCTTGTTGGCCCATACACTTAGCACTCAACCACCATTGATTCTTTATGCAGCCATGTTTGGCTGGTGTGTATGGTGACTTCTTATACATGCCCCCATGTACACTTTTTGTGGTTAGTGTCGAGTACTTACTATTCATTGACATGGACTTGCCCCCCAATCCTCCCTTGTCCATAATCTCATGCTTACAAAATCCATGTGAGAGTTTGACTTCTTGTGTCTTCTTGGAGATGCTGTCTACTCCATTCTTCATGGTGGGTGAAATGCTCCCTTGTCCAGACTTAGCCAAATTTGCGAGACTGTGACAACTCTTTCTGCCTTTTCCACGTCTTTCCTTGTTGGACTTGCCCCCATGTCCACTGTTTGTGATTGGTGGCATGCTTTCTTGTCCAGACTTAGCCATATTATTATATTTATCACAAACATGTGAGGCTTTGGGTTGATGTGGCTTCTTGGAAACCAGCTGCCCCCTAGATGGACATCTCGACTTCTCTTCGTCAACCTTAAAACTCTTCTTGCAATGAGCACACAACTTCTCAACTTCATCAGTCATCATTGCGGCCAGGCTGGCCTGCTTGGTACATGACGAGCTTCCTTGGTGGAAAACCACGTTGGGTCTCCTTCGAGGGGGTGTTGTATCCAACACCAGCTTGAAGCGTGGTAACTCGACTTTGGAGAAGTCTAGGTTGACCATGTTGATGCCAAGCACCTTGGGGAACGAATCAGTGTCCACCAACATGGCATCCTTCTTTGCTTCAGGGAACTTGATACGTCCCTTTTCAATGGCATCCTGCAAGACATTACGGAACACCACACAAGAATCAGTGGCATGTGACATGCTATTATGCCACTTACAATACTTTTTCCCTTTTAATTTCTCGGGTGAGGGAAAGACATGCCCCCCTGTCAACTTGACTTGACCATCCTTATAGAGTTGGTCAAAAATCAAGTCTTCCTTGGAGACGTCAAAGGAGTACTTCCTTGGCTGAATGGGAGCACGATTGGGTCTCCCCCCTTGTGGTCCCTCTTCAACTTTAGACAAGGAAGCACATATGTATGGCTTCCCTGGAGTTATCTCGGCCAAGTCTACCTCCACCTCATTGGCCTCGTGGCCAATATGATTGATGGTATAGTCTAAGTTTGGGAAGTATGATCCCCTTGATGCACTCCTACGATTCTCTTCCTCATGTAGAAGAGACTCATACCTCACGGCACAAGACATGAGTTGAAATAAATCAGAGAACTCCCTATCTTGGAATTTCTTCCGTAGTTCAAAACTCAAACCCCCTTGTGCCAGCTTGACAAACTCCCTCTCCGTCAAATTAACAAAGCAACGGTTATGGGCATTCTTGAAGTTAGTCAAGAAATGCTCAACCGATTCCCCTGGCTGTTGGCGCATACGTGCCAAGTCAGCCATGGACACCTCGGGCTCAGATCTGTAAAACTGAGCATGGAAGACTTGTTCCATCTGTTGCCAAGTCTGGATGGAGTTAGATGGCAAGTTGACGTACCAAGCAAAAGCTGGTCCGGTCAATGAGTTTCCAAATAGTCTTAACTTAACAAAATCTCCTACATCGCCACATTGGACAGTGAAACGTCCAACGTGCTCTACAGTGGACTGATCTCCAGTCCCTGTGAATGTGGGAAACTCGGAAACTCTGAATCCTCTTGGAAACGGGTAAAGTCTATCTACCCATTCTGGGTACGGCTTACGGTATACAGGTGGCATGGCAGGTCTTACTCCCATGCCAAACTGCTCCGTGAGGAGTTGAGCCACTTGATCCCTAAGGGTGTTGGCTTCATGCCCCCCTTGTTGCCCCCCATACGGTTCAAACCCAATGGGGTCCATGCCATGCCCATTGAAATGGGGTGGCGTTGGAGTTGGGTAGCCTCGAGGTGGGATTTGATCCATGTTACCACCTAGGCCTCCTCCTACTCCCAAATTCATAGGAGCCACGTAGGGTCTTGCCTCTGGGATAGAGGGACGAGCACCCACTTGCACGGGTGGTTGCTCAGCTCGAGTGTTGAACATGGCGGCGAGGTTCTCACCACGCGGGGGTACCACTTCAACTCCCACGCGTCCATGTGACGACTCCCCTACTTGAGCAGTAGCGAGAATCTCAACATCATCTACTCGACGTGGAGGTGGTTGGCTTGCCGTCTGAGGCGGCAAGTTCTCTTGCCGTGGTTGGCTATTTCGACCGCCGGCGGGAGAAGTAACGTTATTAGTAGGCGTTGGGCTTGTGCCATCTACTGGCAAAGCTCTTGACTGCACTACTGGTCTAGTTAGAGTTTGTCGAAACTGATCCAACTCATTTGTGTTTTTGTTAACCAACTCAAATAATTGACTGAAACGTCTATCAATGCGAGAATTGAGACAGTCAATTTGAGAATTTACCTGATGTGTACTAGCCCGAGTCTCCTCCATCATGCGGCGGTTCTCCACCAGCATTTGGCGGTTCTCCTCCGTGGCTCGAAGGTTGTCAGCCACCATTTTGCGGTTCTCCTCCATCATCTGACGAAGGGCCCCCACTGCTTCGCCGAGATCTCCACCAGGCGCGGTTGCCACCAAGATCTCTGCTCCACCGTTTCCTCCGGTCACCGCGTCGGACGCTTGGCCATGCTCAATGTTGGCCACCTGCTCCTCCATAAATCCAGCCGGAACGTCACCTTCTTGGTTCCTCCGCCTCGGAGCCATTGAATCGACCACAAGGGTCCCACCAGGTGTGCCAAATTTGTTCTCCGGCGAGAAAACTTGCGTTGAATTGATATTGATTGCACCTTGACTTCTTTGGACAACGATTACTAAGACACGGCTCACACCTCTTCAAACACAGTTCGAACGAGGGTGATCGATGTTTACACGACTCTCGAGACAGATCTACATTAAGTTACTCCTACTCCTATGGAGGTTCAGTGAGAGCTCTAGATCTACGACTACGGCTAAAACTGAAGACGTAAGGATAAAGGGATAAAATTTGACATTGTGTTGTCTGGTGTGAATTTGGCGAACCTCTTCTCTGACAACTCTTCCTCCTATTTATAGGCTTGAGGTGATAACCGTCGTAGAAAACTGTCTGGAGAGTAACTTGCAAAAAGAACCGCTTCCCTTCTTTCCCGGACGTGGCTGACGTGTCCTTGAACGTGGAGTAATTGACAGTTTCTCAATCAAACCGTCGGCTCTCCCTTTTGGAACTGACGTCTTGTTACTTGCCCTTTCCTTTACCATGGCTATTCCAGATCTCGCGACAAGGCGGTTTGTCAAACATGATGACAATGCTACGAGGTGGTTTACCAAACTTGGCGCGACGAGGCTTGTCGCAACGAGGCGGTCTACCAAACTCTACGCGAGGAGGCTTGGCGCTTAGACCTAGTAGAGGCTTGGCGGACTTGCGATCAGGTGGCCTGGCGGACTCGCGAAGTGGCCTGACACGAGGAGTCTTGGCGCTTGAACTTAGTTTATTTTGTGTCCTTCTCCCCACATATCTTGTAGACTCGCGATGTGGTTTAGACAAGGCGGTTTGTCACGACAAGGCGGTCTACCAACTTGACGCGAGGAGGCTTTACGCGAGGAGGCTTGTCGTGATGAGGCACCAGACTTAGTTTATTCTCATGCGTCATGTCAGGCCTAATCATTTGGGTTTAAAAATCTAGTATCGTAGGCCCAGTTTAAATAACATTAATTGTTATTGTTGATCTGGCCTTATAAAGACAGTTAATGTCTTGTAAATAATCAATGTGGTACACGATTATTTTTGTAGTGTAAACACTTATACTTTGCGTAATTATATGTTAGATCGTTGGTTGCTTACGATGTTACTTTAGTTAGTTACATCAGCACGTCCATCCAACGATCTAAATCGTGCAGACACATTTCGTATATAGTACTACAATTAATACAACTAGCAGTAGCAACCACTCTTATCGAAGAAGGAGAAAAAACATATTTTGTCACACTGGGGAGTTTAGTTAGGAGCAATGACAGATTGGAGTGAGACAAAAGGTGGAGGAGCTTGTTGAAATGTAGACTTACTTTGGTGGGGACTAATGTATATATTAATTTATATGTTGGACTGGAATAGCCACGATATGATCAGCCATGCCAAGGTAGGGAGAAAAAAAGTGGCATTGGTGGTGGGTGGAGGAAAAGGGAGACGACATAGATATGATCGACGATGACGACAATGGATATAAAGGTGTTTGAAAACAATGGGTGCTGCATCATATCGTCTGTGTGTGTCTGCGTTTGTGAGTTTTATTAACGTGGAAAGAAGATTCAACAAAAAAAAATGTGGAAAGAAGAAATTAAAGGGGATGGTGATCGCTGATCGGCGAAAGACAAAAGTGGCTGGGGATTGAGAATTTGGGCGATGGCGATAATCAAAGTTAGATGTATAAAATGGGACCAGACCACTTGCACTGCACTGCACTGCATTGCATGTGTTTGTTTGTGTTATGCGGGGCGAGAGAATTTGGCTCTCCATCCATCCATCTCAAATCTTTGATGTATTCCTTGCACATTCCTCACACACGAATAATATCACTATGATACTCAAACTATCAAAAAATGTCACATTTATAATATTTTATTTTATATTTCAATTTCTATCCCATTGTATCATACTTTTGTGCAATTTATATTCTGACGCTTATGTTGATCATAAGAGATAACCATTGATTAGATGGCGGTAGAGTAATTTTGACTTGCAATGATGTGGCAAAAAACATGTCATCCTCCTAGATACCACATTATTACCATACTATCTTAATACTAAATAAATTATAAATAAAATAAAGATAAAATTGAATGGCATTTTCTTCACCCATCGCCCGTTCATTCCCCTTCACCGCTCTATCTTCCAGAGCTCCATCTTCCAGCTGAAGCCCTCCGACCAGGAATCGCATGTAGACTACCTCTCCCTTAGTCCAGAGAAACCTTCCCATCTGGCGAAAGTTTTGAATCGTCATTCTCCACACTCACCCCTGCCTCGTTCACGCTCCTTTATACGACCAATCGGTCTCTTCCACCACAACCTCCACCTTCTTAAACCCTACCGCGTTAAGCATTGAATAAGCGAAGTACGAGTACGGGTTGATAATGAAGGGTGGATTCGTCTCCTTATTGAACTCTAACAATCCCTTTATCGAATTCATGTCGAACATCACGACCGACGGCGACTCTGACTGTTTTAGCACCACCATGGAGTGGAAGGTGGAGACTTTAATTTTGCCGAACAAGGCAAAATTGGGGGCGTTGTGGACTTGTCTCATTGGAAGAGGATGATGTTGATAAGGTTCGGGTCGCCGAAAGACATCACTTCGTTGCCGACGATGATTAGGATGATGTTGTTGGCCGAGTAGAAGGGGGCAACGGTGGTGTTTATCTAGCTGGCGGCGGTGTTCGTTCGCTGATGACATTTAATTTATAGTGTTTTCACTCCCATATTTGATACATTTCCCCTTCTACTAATGCATCTTTAGTAGTTACTCATCTTTTTCAAATGTAAATCATAACTATTTGATCAATGAGCAGTTAATAGACATAGGTTGTGTTTTGGTATTCTTTTATTCCTTCTTGGTATGTTTTTGTGCTTTGCTTTTAAAGGTGAAATACAAGCTAGGAGGATTTTGATCAAGCATTGGATGACTCTGGAGGAAAAAAGGAGCTAAAGAGAGAAGAGTATGCGGTTTTCATGTAAAAGGCGAGGTCAATGATGGAGAAACCTACTAGTAACCAAGAGTAGAACCCAAGAGGAGCACAATGCATAAAGACTCAGCTCAACCGGATCAAGAAACCAGTGACAAATCAAATCTGGTCAAATCACTGTGAACTCTTCAAAAGAGGTTGCTTATGGGCCAGGGAGTCCAGTCCACAAAGAAAATTAGAGGCAGTTCCAGCCGCCACTCATGGGCCCAAGCCCAATGGAGGCCCAGAATGCCTTGCTTTGGCCCAAAGTCAGGGATACGTTGTCCTAGTAGGGTTAGGAAGGTTTTGATTGAGTTCTACCACTATAAATAGGGAGCTAAATTATTTGTTTAGTAGGCTTCAAAATTTCATTCAAAACTTCTGTAGACACTCTATTCGAGTGAGAGCTTAGCTTTCGTAGGATAGGGTGCATCTAAGGACATGCATTTATCATCGATGATGGTACCCTCCTTCTCTTTTGTGTATAGCTAGTTCGAAATTGATTGTATAGGAGTGTGAACTAGTTTACCTTTATATGTATTGATGCTATGATATCATATTATGCTTGTGTTGATGCTTATGATTTTCGATGCCCTATGAGTAGGGGTGAACAAACACACCCGCAAACCAACCCACCTGTATTTATCGCTAAAACTAAAGTTTTGGGTTGGGTGATGGTTTTCTTTTGTACAACCCGCCTATTTTGGGTTGGGTTTGGATTTTGGATTACACAACCCGTAGAACCCGACCTAACCCGTGTTCCAATTATTGATATGAGTTCGTATCCAAAAATATTTATGTCGTATATAGTCATTCTTATGAGAAAATTAAGATATTTCGCCATGTTTTTCTCTCATGGTCTCTCTAATCTAATGCATTTTCCTGCTTAAAGTTTAGACATAGATTTAATATAGGTATGATTCACGTAATCCTTTTTCTTGTGTACAATTTTAATAGAATAACATATTATGAATGCGTTCGTTTATAATATTTTTAGCCTATTTCAACAAATGTAATGAAAAAACTAGACATATGTTGAAGTAAATCACATTTTATTAAAATTTAAATAACATTTGTGAATTTTGATACCTTTCACCTCGGTTTATTCATTTGAAATAATAATTAGTTATAAAATATTTTTATGGTGTAGAATAATTACATATTTGTGTTGGGTTGGGTGTTTACTTAAAAATGACCCAACCCAATTAGAAACCAACCGTTGGATTATAAATTTTTTTTGGGTGAGTTTGGGTTTAATAAACCCAATTAGTGCACGGGTAGGGTGATTAAAATTGCTAAACCCGAACCACCCGATCCATGTACACCCTTACTTATGGGTATGCATTGATGCTTTAGTATGCGATGCCTATATGTTTGTTATTGATGTTCATCTAGCTTAATACTTTCTTATCATAAATGCTTATAAATCTATAGTATACTACTATATGGATTGTCCTTAGTATCATCTAGGTTGTTATCAAATCACATAATTATAGTGATACCCCATTGATGCTACACAAGTATTGAGGGAATGATCAACCATCTATACATTGAGTAGTATCAATGCTTGATTGTTAGAACATCAATGCCATAGACCATCGATTATAGCTAAAGAGACCCACACTTATTCATGTGCTATCCTCACATCTATGTTCTTCGTTGATTAGGTGATGGTATGAAACAAAAACACACATTGGCTAGTCAGTTTTCTATTGCATGTGGCGAAAGCTCGAGTAGGATGACCTTAGTAGAAGGGATATAGTGATGCTATGGACGAGTCATTAATGCATGATATGAATGAGTGTTGATATGTGTGTTGAACTCGAGTATGTTTTCTTATTCAATAACATATCTTTACATTTATGCATCTATATAACTTAAAAAAACACCTAAACATCATTTACTTTCCATGGTTTGCTTTACTTCATTGCTTAACTCGAATGAAACCCCCTAAAAAATTTTCTTATTCTTGTTCGAGCATGGATGGATGGTGTGAGAAGGTATGCATAAGATTTTTATCACTTGCATGTTTGCAACATCATTCGTCGTTGTCATGCCAATTCTGATTCTGGTGTTGGCTAGGGATATGAGGGTGGCGGAAATTCACGAAGAAAAGAGTGATGGGTCGGGTTAAGGGTAGGACGATAGATTAAGTATTGTTTTATAATATCTTATATTTAATTATAAGTTTGTAAAGTAAAAAGAATAATAAAAAATTGATTTTTTATATAAATTAAAAATAATCCAAATTATCTTACACATCAACCGTCAATGTTAATAAAACTACAGAGATAATAGTTCAAGATAGGATTGTCATATTGATTAAAATAGGATGCAAGTTTCATTTTGTTAATAATTCGAGTGTTGTAGTAGTATTAGCTGTAAATGAATCAACCCCAACCCCTATGCATGTAGCTAGGGTGGAAATTGGTAATGTATTGGTATCGTGGTACCAAATATCCAAATTTGAATGTCGAATTATACCCTAAATTCAATGAACATCACAATCCAAAAATAAATTTGGTATCTCAATCCGAGTCCCACAATATTTGGTATCAGTATCGGGATTCTCGAATACAAAACTAATTATATTTGCAATTAATAATCAGATATATAGATAAATAATGGTTAAACACCCCTAATCCCGAGCATTTTACATAATGTAGATTTGGAGGTTAACTCAATGATTGGAAATTTTGATTATGAGAATTTGAGGTTAGAAAAATCTAATAAAACTAATCGAAGTCATCATTAATTGGATTCCACCTTCATTGAAATGATTCATTATAAGTTCCCATTTAGTGCAAAGAGACTAGGTAAAGAGTTTTGAGTTTGTCTAGAGTTAGGATATGGATAAGGAGAAGGGAGCATATGGTGATATCTCAATTCCTTGTCAATGGTATTCTTTAATTCGATGGATTGGAGTTTGAGATGTGACTAATGAGAGTCTGTTTTTTGCTCTCATGAAAACAACAAGAGAAAGTGAGAGACGAGAGTGACATAAATTGGAAAGCCAAAATTGGGTTGGATATGGGACTTGTGAGTTCTCAAAGAGTGAGGAATAATAACCAAAGTACGTATGCTATATTTCAATTATTAATTTTGTTGTGTCTCGGTATTTCGTTATATACTAATTTCAATCCGTAATCTCGAATGTCAAATAAAACTATAAAATAAATAACAAACAATGATAAATTGGGTACAATATTCGATTATCTCAAATATCGATACTAAATTTCCAGCTCTACATGTAACTGATAGGGAAGGATCGGTATATATAAAGTGGAAGTTTGGTTTAATATTTACTTCAAAATAACTTTGGACTTGATATTTACTTCAAGAATCATATTTTTTTTTAACGAGTCAACTGAACAAAGTCCTATTCCAAGAACTTTGCCATGTATTAGAATGATAACTTGCCTCACTTGGGAAATAATTCATCATACGGGAGAAGAAATAGGTCACATGACAGCTTATACTTTGAAATACCATAACTTACAAAGTCATGCACTCACCTCGATGGATGATTTTGTTTCTAGAAAACAACATGTGATTATTGTTTTTGCTAAGTCATCAGGTTATACGGGTTGCATGCAAGTAAAGTGATTTACATTTTGTTCTTCAGCTACTCTAATTGATGACACCTTATATTTATAGTCTTTATCACTCTCATATTTTATACATTTTTCACTTCTATTAATAAATTTTTAGTGGTTTTAATTATATTTCATATGAAACTCAAAACTATATGAATAATGAGCTTAATATTGACCTTGAGTATGTTTTATACTATTTTATGTATTTTTGCGTATTTTTGTGTTTTTCAAGTATATAATGTACATAAGATGATTATGGTCACCAAAGGACCCAATAGATCAGAAGGAGGGTCAATAATACAAGCTCACGGGCGTAAACAGAGATGGATTCCGACACCGAAAACTCAAGTTATGGACCAGATGATAGTATTTTGAAGAGAATGCGAGTCAAATGAAGTCCAAACGAGCTAAAATTTAAGGAGTAGGCCCATTAGCCCAAGATGAAGTTGCCCACCAAAAATGGGCAAATTGGAGAAGAAAATCTAGCGACAGGTCCAACCGCTGTGGGGTAGCCGCTAGTACCCTAACTTCTAGAAGGCTTTCTCAACAAGTTACTTCGTCCACAACTTAAAGGAAACCGACTTCAAGTAGGAAAATGATGGTTTTGGTTTTGGCCTACTTTATGAGGAAAAAAACTAGAAAACTAGAAAAAAACTAGATTAGAGCTTTTATACACCCTTTACCAATACTCTGCCATAGTGGCACGAGTAGCAATCCATAGAGAGGAGGCAAATTGGTGCTAAGATTCAAGGAAGCATTCACCATCATGTTGTATCATTGCTGATGTTGTTCTTCTTCCCGAGCCAACCGCACCAACCCGCACACTGTTTGGATAATCATACCCATAATTTGTAGATAGTGGGTTGGGTGTGAACCGTGTGGTTAGCAAAATATTTATTTTTGTGGTTAGTGGTTAATCACTACCCACAATAGTTAACCCACAAACCCTACAATAACAACACTAGATATATTTATCTATTAATAGTACT